GGATAAATGAAGTAGTCTTTTTCTTAAGTGCATTTTCCTCTGTCCCTTTTCTTTTCAGCGACCAGAAAGAGAGCAGAAAGACATGATGGTCAGATGGACAGAGCTAGGGGTAGATGGGCCAGGTGGGAAGTTGTAGTAAATTCTTCTGTCCTTACTGTTCATCTGCAGTTTTTTAATATTTGTGTAAAAAATGTTGACATTGTATTTTAAAAAGAAATTAATCACGGGGGGAGGGGGGGAAATATTTTATTTTAATGTGTGCACGCTTTAGTTAAAAGACAAAACTATTATCATTGGTTGCCTTGCCAGGTTAGGGACATACAGATATAACCTGTTGCAGCCAGTGGTGCTTCACTTTTTTTCATTAATTTTTTTCATGATTTATTTAATACTTTAGAAGCATAATATTATGATCTTATTAAATTTCATGAGCCAATTTGTTTAATGATAATTGTTGTTTGTAAATTAAAAGTAATTTGTTGTTCCATTCAAACTATTGTAATAACAAATGCATTGTTTTTAGTAAATGGTTTAACACTTCTGTCTGTCTCAAAAACATTTGTTAGTTGTGCTGGCATCAATCAATTTTAGTATGCGCTTTTTTTTTCTGCTCTCAAAAGCATTTATGCGTGGCAGTTCTGGTATCTGTAGAGGGATAGGTGAGATGAAGATAGAGTGGTTGAGTGTGTGTGTCTGTCACTGTTTGCTGTTTCCCTGCACTGTTAGATGGAATGGTTGTGTGTGTGTGTGTGTGTATGTATGTGCGTGCGCATGTATGTATGTGTGTGTGTGTGTGTGTATGTGTGTGTGTGTGTGTATGTGTGTTTGTATGTGTGTGTGTGTGTGTCACTGTTTGCCGTTCCCCTGCACTGTGAATGTGATCAATAATGTGTCAGGCCGAACTTTGTAAATCAAAGGTAGCAAATTAGTGCAGTGAGTGTTATGACTACAGTAGAGCCTGCTGTAATGGCCTCCACTCCAAGACATTCACCTGTATATACAACCACTTCCCACTTCCCCTTTTGCATAAAAAAAAATAAGGACACTGTTCAAGATATTATCCATCAGTAAAAAAAAAAACCCTTTTCTCCAAGACAATGGGTGACCGTCTTGGACAATTTTGACAGTATTTAATTGATATCAATTATGTCATGTTCTGTACACGAAAGTGTTGTGTTCATTTTTTAGAAACTGCTGCCTTTCTTTTGCCTTTGTACTAACACTTTGCCCCCCATGAGATGCCGATCGGCAACGGTAAGAAGAAGCCGCCCTTTTTCCCCATGGGATGCCGATTGGCGACGGTGTGATATAGCAACAAAAATATTTTAGATATGCGCACTTGCTAAAGTTATAATTTCCTTTCTGAATGGTTGTGTGGCCTTTGATCGCAAAAATTAGTTTACAGGTGGACTGAAATTTGTTTTGAAAAATGTCGAGAAGATCTAGCTTGAGTGCTGCTTTACCCTTACACCACAATGAGGATTTGGTTGCTAAATGTGGTTGATCTAGTGGTTTTAGTTCCGATAATAATCCCTTTCTTGGCGAACAAGAGATCGTCACATTTAATTTTCTCAATGCTGCGCTGATAATGTCACAATGATTGGGGTGTTTTTTCTGAGACACAGGTGTAGCAGTGATGTACCATGTTCACATTCTGGTACGTAGGGACAAAGGTCTAGCGCTCTGCGCACGGAATGGGTGGAAAGTGTTAACATTGATGAAGCCTACAGTAAAATCCTCTTATATCGACATCCGACTTATTGACATTTTGACGTATCGACATATTTTCCAATTATGAACTTTTTCCTTCAGTATCTTCACTAAACAATTTCTCTTATATCGACTTCTTTTCTGCCCACTTTGCTTTATTGACATGCTTCCTGGGTACTTGGGGAAGCCCACGAACATAAATGGGGAGAAAAGCTACGCTGACGAGTTAACAGATTAGTTCTTCATTAAGTCCACATACCCGCCAAGTAGCCTATATCGACGCACCAGGCTTTAGTAGGTCATGTAGGGCCAACACAGTGTAGTCTCCAACACAGTACAGTGCCTCACAGACACGAACGTCTCATGCGCTGGGCATCACCTCCCTACCCCCACTCCCGATCACTCACTCCCCTTCCCTATCCCATTCTCAGTTTACCGCTGACCTCCCCTTGTTTTTTCCTCTTTGGCTTTATATATTTTCATGTATCGACATTTTTATGTATCTACATCAAATCTACTTCCCATAGCATGTCGATATAAGCGGATTATACTATAAGCGGATTATACTATATGTTGTAATACTGGCGAACTCTTGGTTTGTTCACTGAGGCAAAGACACAGCAGCAGAGAGTGTGACTGTCATTGAGCTCAGTCAAGTGCACATAGAAGTTAGATTGTAATATTTTTTACTTTTTTAACGTTTGTGTAAGTAATTTCTCTTGTATTTCTGCGTAATCATCACCATCCTCTCAGACAGCTCAGTTGGCTTTTTCCGCATCCTATATTTACCCGCCCAATGTTGTTTGCCCCAGTGTTGGCTCCCGTCTGTGTCTCGTAGCCTGAATGAAATTATTGTTTTACGCGACATTCAGTTGTGAAGTTGTCTCATAAAATGTATTATCATTTCTCCGCTCCCCACACACTCCCTTAAAAAAAGAGAAATCCACATTGCTGAAAAACTAACTCTTTCAGTTTTTGAAAGGTACAATGATAATATCATGGTACAATAATCTACTTTCCTTGACTCGTTATCTGTGATTTATTCAGCAGATTCATTTTCTGTTTGTATTTTCTTTTGAACTGCAGATCGTGGATGGGCTTCAAATGTTGTGCTGAAACTTAGGTTGCTACTAGTAAATACAATAGCAGCTTTCTGTCCCTGAGTGATGGTTACAAAAAAAAAACCAAAAAAGAAAAACAAAAACAAAAAACCCCCCCCAAAACATTTTAAAAACTCATGGAAAAAATGCAGAAAGAACAGAACATCCTGGGGTGACCTGAGTCCTGCTCCTTTAGCCCTCATGTTGTTTAGGCCTCATGTTGTTGTTTCTGTCTGTCCTCTTTTTTAAGATCAGAATATACTTGATTGTCCCTGTGGGAAAGTTTTCATGGCTTTGTTAGGAATGGAAAAAACGCTTGTAGATATAATATACATAACATTTAGATTGTATAATACTATCACAAAACAATTTTAGTATAAAGAGAAAATAAAACTTGCAATAATACAACATGTCACATCAGATGCATCTCTCAAACCGCATGCAGGCAGGAATTTATTCCAGATTCTTTTGAAAGTTCTATTGATATATCCGTGTAAGAGCATAGAATTTAAAAGATCAACAGCAATGAACATGTTCATTTTGAAAGCAGTGTTATTGCAGATGATAGGAAACATCTTGTTTGCAAATAATGTCTGTTTTTTTTCTGGTTTATGGCTATCATTGTGGCGATATTTAATTGTGTTCTCTTTGTCTCCAGCAAATAATCATAACGGGTGGTTCGAGGTCGTACTTTTTTTTCTTTCACCCTGTTGCATCTGTCTGCATAATTTTTCCTTGTACCTAATTTTATCAAGTCTGTGTGCTTCTCTTTACTCAGTGAGTGGTTGGAGGGTGCTACCGGTACTGATACTGAAAGGTCCTACCTCTTTACTTTTTGTCTGTTGTTTCTGTCTGTCTGTCTTACTTTTTTCCAGCACTAAATGACGGTAATGTGTTGATATGCTTCTGTTTACTCAAACAAACCGATGAATTCTTTACTCAAACTAAAATCGTGTTTAAATGCTGACCCTTTTTTATCAGACCTGAGCCAGATCCGACCGGTTTATGCTCCCAAAGATTTCCTGGAGGTTGTCGTCAGTCTGCAGAACCCGAACTGCAACAGCTGTGGCAATGTAGGGTAAGTACAAGGGGTGTGTGCTTTTGTGTGTGTGAAACGGTTGAAGGCTCCGATGAGAAGTTGAAATGAATAGTTTGTCTAATAAACAGTTGAGACGTCCAGTCTAAAGATGCTTCATTATTTTTTAAATTAAAAAATGGTGTTGTTTTTTTAAATTTTGTTTTCCTCTTTGATTATCAAACCTTCTTGTTTGTTCTGCAACTGTATCCTTATATATGTCAAATATTAATTCTTTTCTGAACATGTTGGTGGGTTATGCTAGCTTGTAGCTTGAAACCAATCTTATTTATAATAAAAATATAATGTATGCATGCACATTTTAAACTAACTTAGCTGCAACAGAACTAGAATAGGCCTGCAACTTACAGAAATCTGAAGTCTTAGTTTAAAAAGAAGAGGTGTAACTATCCATTTCACAGAGCTTTGATCTTGCTTGTAAAATTAAATTTGTTCCTGCGTCTTGTTTGCCAGCGGCTCTCTTCTCATGCAATTTTTTTTTCTTTTTTCTTTGCTCACAGATCCTTCGACGTACCCTGGGGTTTGATTCAAGTGCCCATGAAAGTGAAAACCTTGAATGAGTTGGTGAGTCTGTTCGAAGGAGTGATGGTCCCCTGTGGACTGTTTCTAGAATGCTGTAGAGACTTTTTACATAATAGATCATAAGAAATAATGAATAACTAGCGTTTGCATAGCTCATATACCTCCTCATCAGCAAGCTCTATGTACTTTACTATCTACATTTTTACCCCAACAGATCATAAAGCTCACAGAAGCGTTCTCTGGTTTACTTGTTTTGATTGAATGACCAATTTGATGATGTATATCTCAATTTTAGATTTGGTACTAAAATATGGCTGCGGCATTTTGGGTTTACCCCACTCGTGGGTAAAGAATTAAGTCAGTTCATCGTCCCTCTGTTCCCACCCACCCCCTACTCCCCATCCCCAGAGGCTCCAGTACAGTGACATGGCCATCACACAGTGCCAGACAGGGGTCGACGACCTCAGCGACATTCCTGCGGAACTCTTTGACAACGAAAGGACAAAACTGGGCAGAAAAGGTGACTTCCCCTCGATAGATGTGTGCTTTAATTTTACATTTTTATTATGTTTCATTTTTCTGCTGTATATGCTTGGCTGCTGCTGTTGTTGTTGTTAATCCAGTAGGCTTTGAGAGTGTGCCGTTCAGCCCAATGCCATGTTTAAACAGGTGGAAATTGTTAGCATTTGTTTTTTGCTGTGATAAAGGTTATTGTCTGTGGCAGAGACGGGAGGAAGAAATTGCCATGTACGTATATATTTGATAAAAGGAAAAAAAGGGCTTGTCTAGCTTGCATAGAAGTCTTTTGTTAACCATCTTAATAGAGACCTGTTTCTTTTTGTGCTGTGTTTCTTTTGTTGCAAGAAAAATGTGCAAGATCTGAAGAAAAAAAAACGACATTGGCCATCCTGGTTCACAACTCACTTCTCTGTTTTTCTTCTTCTTCTCAAGTGCTAGATCTGCAACTGACCTCAACAATCTTTGTTCAACATTCCTTTTGTCTCTTAAATTATCTTGAAATACCTTTATTGACCTGGTCTTTTTCCCTTCGCCCAAGTGGGAGGTCGGAGGGCGTCACTTGCAGGTCCTACTTTATTTCTTTCCCTGTGTTGTTTGTGTTTATTGCTTTTTCCTGCTCTAAATTACCTTTACTGTGTGGATGTACTTCTCTTTGCTGAAATAAACAAGCAAACAGTCGCACATTTGTTCTAATTCATTGAGTAAATATTTGTATCTGTATCATCATCGGCCTTTCTCACCCCATACTGGAGTATAGGCCACCAACAGGAGCTCTCCATGTATTTCTGTCCTGGGCTATACTGCTCTTAGCTAACAAAGCGCCTTTTTTTCAGTTTTGGTACCAAATTTTGTAATGTGCGCTAAATAGATAGCTTGATCAGTTATCCTACTTGGGTGAAAAAAATCTAAGTGTAACTGTGACTAATTTTTAAATAGATTTTTAAATGGTTTCACCGACAAAACGCCTATTTATCACAAAACTGCTGTAAATTTTTTTAAACGTATTGTCAGTGTACAGCAATATAGTCCCCACCTCTGTCCAGCTGTGTCCCACTTTATCTTTGTGGTACTTTCACTTTCTTTCCAGTTTTGAGCAGTAAACACGCTCCGATCTCCCGAGAATTTTCCAAAAAAGGCTGCCCGGTGTCCATGAGAGCTGAGCTGTGGAGTCAGATTCTGGGTGTGGAGCTGGACCAAGTGGTACGTGCTCAATCCTACCTTCTTTTTTTTACTTCAGTTGTTGCTTGTGGGTGGTTGGCGGGTGCTCTGGTGTGGTTTGCTCCTTTTTTCCTATCAAATATCTATCATCCTGATTTCTCCTCCTTCTGTTTTATGTTTGTTACTCTCTTGTAACACTTCTAATCTTATGCACTTATATGACCTTATTGTGTTTCAAGTGCCGTAAAACTCTTACTAAAAACTTTAAGAAAATTGTTGCATGTAGTGGTGTGTGGTTAATGCTACCTACTTTTTAAAACTTCAGTTGTTACATGGTGGTTGTTCGTGGTCTTCCTCATTATCTGTGGAATAGGAGATTATTTTTGTGTGCTCTGACTTGAGAGTGCAAGAGGTGACCAAATATGATGGAGTTTTTAAACCAAAATCTGCAGGACTATCGTATTTTATTCAGTTTAGCTGTGTTTTGGGTTTAGAGAGGCTGCTCAAATACATCAGGTTTTTAAAAAAGGGGGAGATTTTATTTTCATTCAGTTTACCACTGATTTTTGGATTATTCGTGTTCAGTTTATGCAGACTTCTTTGTATGTTGTAGGTAGAAGTGTTCAACAGAGCAGCTATGGGCTGAAATGTGCTTTCTCAATGGATGTCAATTTTAAGCTCAACTTATTATTTCTAATTACATATATACTTCCTTTGCTTAATTTTGTTTTCCTTTCTTTTTTTTTTTTGGTCTCAGTTTGTCATCTGAATTTTAGGGGTAAACAAAAAAGGATTGGATAATGAATTTTTATTCCATTAAAACATTTTTTATGTGCCTTTACAATTCTTTGGCATGCGCAAAAAATTAAGTGTAATAATTGTTCATTGATCAAAACAATTGATTCTGTCTGTTTTTCCTTCAGGATCACCTGTACTATGAACAACTCAAGGCGTACGTCCTTCAACATGACCTGCTTGTGGACAATCTCTTGTACAAGGTACCTTTTTATTTACTGTCCTTTGACTTTTTCATGTTTTGTTGCCTTTAAGCATCGAGAGGAGATGCAGTTTTCTATGGTAAGCCAGTTCCGCAGCTCTTTCAATTGGGAGAACTTTGTTGTCAAGGAGAAAAGTCGTAGTCTTAGATAGGTGGATGTCTTGGACAATATCATTATAATATTCAAAAAAATGCTAAGGGGGGAAGTGGCTGATTGTACAGTGATTGTCTTGGACAGGTGGCCATTTATGTCTTGCAGGTCCTTACAAGTGAAATATAATCGAATGAAATTCATCTGGTGTTCATTCACATGTTTTATCTGGTTTATCTAGTCACCTGTCACTGCTCATATGCCTCTATACATGTATTTATACCTTGATATTATACATATTTGTGTCATTTTATGTCTTCAATATGTACATGAATGCTATTATGTTTGAATTTTTCTTGTATTTTAATTCTGTTGAAGGCTGCTGATTTGTCATGTAAAACCCATTGATCATTGTAAATTATGAAAAAGTGCTACGTAATTGCTATGTATTATTTTTGTTTTACTTTAGGATGTCAAACTGACAGCGACAAACGATGATCAATACTTTGTGTTTGAGGACTTTCTGTACCAGGTAAAGAGAACATTTCCTTTTAATCTTTGATTGTTATCTCTTTTTTTTTTTCGAAAGGTAAAAAGACAAGATCTTGATCAATAGTAGTTTTTAATGAATGAGACAGAATTCAGAGCTCTTATGTGTTATGAGTCATTTTTGGTGAATGAGGTTAGAAATTTGTTGCATACAAATCAAGAAATTGCATTTTTATGTGCCATACGCTACTTTTGATGAATGAGTTGAGAGTTCGTATATGATACTTTTGATACGTTATGCATTGTAAGTGAATAAAGATAAGGTCATGAGGAAAATGCACTACATTATTACTATATATATTATTATAAGTGTCATTGTTGTTATTGTTATAATTGTTATTGTTGTTGTTAGTATAATTATTATAATAACAATGATGATAATAAGAATTATTATTATTATGGTTATTACTATTATTATTTGATATTATTATTATTATTATTATTATTATTATTATTATTATGATTATTATGTTTATATTATGTTTATATGATGTTTATTATTACTACTATTATTATTATTACCATTATTACTTTTTTTTTTTTTTCGGTTTTTTTTTTTTATTTTTAATGGGTTTTTTTTTTTTTTTTTTTTTTTTTTTTCCTATAACCCCAATCATGTGTGTTATTCCCCCCCCCCCCCCCCCCCCCTTCCCCTAGGTTCTGCTGCCATTCTCTCGTGACACTGTTGTGTTGAAACACTTCACACAGAACAGTGCCACGCCCCCCAAGTCTTACATCAGAGGGAAGCTCGGGGTGGAGGAGTTTGCTGTGACCTACCCACCTAACGGAGTTATCCCCTTCCATGGTTTTGCTATGTACGGTAGGTTCACCCGACAGCTGGCAGAATTTGCTTTATGCTGGAGGTTCTTGCTTGAGTTAAAATCATTTACTCTGCCGTAAGCTGACAAAATGCCTTTTTTCATTTTTGGTGTCAAATTTTTTTATATTTTATATTTGCTAAATCGAAAGCCTGATCAGCTACCTAGATTGTGTGGAAAAATCAAAATGAAACTGGATCTAGTTTTAAAATAAATTAGAATTCAAATTTCAGAAAAACTCCTTTTAAAACTGATTACGTTGGCAAAAAATCTCTTTATCTCGAAACTGCTGAAAATATGCTTAAAAGATGTTTTATAAGCTTACAGAAGTACTCTAGGTTATTACTACAGTTTACTAAATGTTCTAACAGTAGGTTCTTTTGGCAAATCTGAATGTTACAGTCTGAGAGCCTAACCATGAGGCCACGGGCGCCATGACGAATAACACCTGCATGTCTGTGTTTTTCCCCCCTCCCACCAGTTGCCCCGATGTGCTACCTCTACGATGACGTGGTCCAGCTCTACTTTGTCTTCCGTAAGATGTACATGCACTTTTTCTTCCGCCTGCACAGCGTGTCTTCCCACCCGCAGGTGAGCCAAATTGTTACCCCAGAATTCATTGTACATTGCATTGTTCATTGTTTCAGGAAGCGACATCCCTGCATTCCGGACATATCCATTGATGCTCTTTTGCTCTCTCCAAAATGTCGCTGAGGGTCTTTCTACTGATTGTGCCAGTGCATATCTGGTTGAATGTTCTTCTGTTCTTTCCTGCAAGGATGCCAGATTTTCTGCTTCTTTTTTGTATTCCCCAAACCATCATCCTCTCCACAGCAGTACTGGCCTCTGCCCCAGAATTACAAAGTTCAATCTGCTCAGTACCTAGTTTTGACGAATTTGACGTAAAAAAGTTTGAGATATTATACGAACGGTTAATTAAGAAGTCTCACCGTGAAACCAACACACCCTTTCTCTGTGTTTACACCAGTATGAGAATGACTACAGCTTGCACCATTATGCACACCAAACGCTACCTTATAATTAAAAAGTTTTATCTGCTCAGTACCTAGTTTTGAGAAATTTGACGCCAAAGATTTTGAGTTGCACAACATGTCAAGCTCTTTCAAATGCAATCTTTTGAATATCTTGATATCGACTCCGAATAATCTGACTATTTTGATAGAGAAGAAAGAACATTTCGTTTCTGACCTCAACATCATCAAAACAGCCAAAAATATCAGATAGAAATGTGTAATTCTGAGTGAATGAAATGTCAAAATTAAATTGTGTTCTTTCCAGTTGTTAGAAATTATGAATATTGAAATAAGGGCATTCTTGTAGTGAATTTAATGCTGAACACGCTAGTTTTTTAAAGTTTTCAAACACCTTGAGGTTGTTTTTTTAAAGATATTATACTCTATTTTATATCACAGGGAGTTGAAAACAAATTTTTGGAAGAAAACCCAATTTCTAGCATATTATAAAAATTTTGAAATGACGTACATTTTGCAAAAATAACAAATAAAAAATATTTAGACTTAAAATATTATAAAGTCCTTTCAATATGCCATTAAGCAATGGTAAAACGTGTGTTTCCTGACTGAACTAAATTTTTTGCCAAGTACAACTTTAAAAAACAACTTTATTGAATTCTGAAGTTTTTCCTGACTCTTCAGGGTATCGTGTCCTTGAGTCTGTTATTTGAGCATCTGCTGCAGGCTGAGGAGCCAGAACTGTTCTACCACCTCAAGCAAGTTGGATGTCAGCCGTAAGTTTGTTGTGTGTATGTATGTCACACTAGAGTACACCAGACAAGCCTGCTGTCCCGAATTTCCCCGGGATATTTCCCTTTTCGGAAACTGTTAACTCTGAAGACTTAATCCCGTGCACTACATCAAAATCAGTCCCGCTTACTGTAATTTTGATTGTTGTTTCACTGTATACATCCAAGGAAGTTGAGATTGTTTCAGAATGCTATCAGTCTGCTGGGGTAAATATATAGATTGTAAAGCGCATAGAGCTTGCTGTTGAGTGCTATGCAAATGCTATCTGTCAATCTCTTTCCAACACTTCATAATTTCTTTTTGTGTTTGAGTGTAGTTGGCGGGTGCTCTGGTGTGGTTTGTTCTTCCTCTCCTATAAAACATCTATATCGTCCTTATCACCTCTCCTTCTATTATGTATTTGTTACTCTCTTGTTACACTTGTAATCTTCGACCCTCACATGTCTTTATTGTGCTGCAAGTGCTTTAAAACTTTTACTAAAAATAAAACAAAACTTTCTGCATCTGCAGACTGAAAATTGCTTTCAAATGGCTGATGAGGGCATTCTCAGGATTCCTTGCAAGTGACCAGGTGCTGCTGTTGTGGGACAGAGTCCTGGCGTACGATTCTCTCGAAATTCTGCCAGGTAAGTGACTTGTGTATGTGCAATGTTCTCACAAGTGTATGATGGCGCAATAGGTTCTCACAATTGCTATTTTTGCCAAAGTGTCCTACGGAGGTTTTTCTTTATAATATGTATCTTTAAAAAAATTGTCCTCTTTTGTTTTTTGGTTCTCATTTCCTGATTGGTATGTTTGTTTACTATTGTGTCATACTGTAACTTGCTTTGTTTACATTTGTGTGGTACTGTAACTTGGTATATTTACAGTTGTGTCATGCTGTGTCTGTTTCCATGACGATGCTGTGAAAAGACAGGTGACAATTTTCTGGATAAATTTGGATATTTGAAATTATTCGAATTTCGCACAACTTTTTTATATAAGTTGTATTTGACAATGTGGTCTGTAAATTTTGAGTCACCTCATTACTATTTCTACGTGGATCTGAAAAGTTCACAGTTTTTTTTTGGTAACTTGTTGGCACTTCTACAAAGATTAATATGTGTCACGATGCAGTGGAATCAGGCGCTCATCAATTTTTGTGCATACCATATGGAGCTTTTTGTATCATTTTAAAGTATGTTTATTCGTCTGTCTTTAGGTGAAAAAATAGCCATCTATCTTGAATAGAAGTCAAGAAGTTCGAAGGAGGTGGAGGTCACCTTGATTCAGAGATAAATTTAGCGGGAAAATGGCTACCAAAGTTTAGTGACTTCAATAGCTTGAGAATCCTTGAAAATTGAAACTTTACATTTTTTTGTGCCTTTAACCCTATCCGTACGTCGTGTTTTATTGTCGTATCCATGCGACGTGGGGAACTCTGTGCCACCACTTTCCAAAGAGGAAATTTACTAGTTAATCCGATTTGTATGCTTTTCATAGCAGTGTGTCAAAATGTTTTTTTGAGAAATGCTGAAAGTTTCAAAGAGATCTTCGCTCTAAAAGTATTCTAAAATGTAAAGAATACAACCCCGGGGGTACAAAATGACCCAAGGGCATACGGATAAGGTTAATAAACTTTTTCCCCCCCCCTGTAAAATCCACACAGACATATGTTTTTAAATGGACATAAAAAGTGTCGACTCCAAACAAAAAAAGGCCAATATCTTCAATTTGATTATTTTGACATGTGCCTGATTTCACCACTATGCCTCATATATTGTTGCAAGTGCCGTAAAACTTACAAAAAAGAGGGTTTTTTTTCACAGCTGGACTCCTCTTGAAGTCTTTTGTGTCTATGTCCGTGTAGAGTGTTTTGACTCTTGTTTCTTCTCTCCCTACATGTCCCAGTGTTGGCCGTGGCCATCTTCTCCTTCCGAAAGACCAACCTGATGAGAGTCACAACTTTTAATGCTGCTGAGGTAAGGGAGTGTTTGACAAAACTGTAGCTGTTGTCAGTGTTTTAAAAAATGGGAGAATGAGAGTGTGCTTTTTGTTATCGATGCTTATATGTACACATTGTGCTCCCTTAGAATTACTAAGTTCTATCTGACACTGGTGGCCGTTTTGAGTTGCTATGACCATGAGGTCAGAAACCAAATGTTCTATCTGCCCTATCAAATTTGTAAGATTATTAGAAGTCGTTATCAAGATATTCAAAGAATTGCATTTGAAAAAACTTGATGGGGTGTGAGGTTCAAAATCTTTGACGTCACATTGCTCAAAACTAGGTACTGAACAGATAAACTTTGTAATTCTGAGGTAGTGGTTAGTCTGTGAATGTAGACATGCTTGCATGCTCTCGCTCACTGACACAGACACGTGCACTTGTGTACCTTCACTCTCTCTCAGACAATCATGAATAACCTGAATGTAGTACAAGTGCCGTAAAACTCTTATTTAAGAAATAATTATTTTCTCTTAAATTATGTTATTAACGACTGTAATTACAATTGATGATGCTATAATTAGTTTTTTAATAAAAGAACATTCTGTACAAAATTTGAATGATTTTGGAGGATGATAAGAAAGGAAGTACATTTCCTC